ATGTTGCAGGGTAAGAAAAAGTCGCATACTGTTTGATGTAGCGATGTTTTATTAGCGTTTATGATGGAGGGAAACATCGGGGATGAGAGTTGTGTCACGTTGCACAACCATATCAGCACGATGGTCATCAAGAAGCTAACAAATGTCTGCAAGGCTCATTTGTTCTCCTCATTCTCATCACATGGCTGAGTCACACTCATGTCTGTGTAACATAACTGTTTCCTGCATGACCAAACATTTTCTAGCTGTTTTCTAAATGAGACAGATTATCTTCTGTTTTCAGGGAGAAAACAGCTCTGCTGACTAAGTAAGCAATCGGCCGTTTGATGCAGACTGTCATCTGCAGCATGCATGGCATATTGTGACCCTGTTTTGAAGGAAGTAACAGGCTTGCATGCTTGGAAATTACACTGTCTACTCTCAATTGCTTATGATCTCCACTTAAAAGGCAAAACGTTCTCTTTGTGCCGGCCCCTCCAGGAACTAATGGATGCTGCCAGGCAGGACGTTTGCTGGTGGTGTTAATTAAGGGTATGTGAGGATTTAATAGAATAAAGCAACAGAAACATCCTAAAGCTGTTGTTGGACTGGTGTGCTGGTTCTTTTCCATTTACCGTTTTTGATGGACGCGATACAAATCACACACTGCTCAGTATTCTGATTATTTTACCTTTTAATTCGGAACAAAATCATCTGTCAGCGTAGAGGAGGCTGATATGATACCAAAGTGTATTTCTACCTCTGTGCATTTGTTCTGTGTTTTCCTTCTAACTACATTACTTGGTTCTTTTTAACAAAGAAAAAGGTTGTTTTATCCTTTTTTGCTGACATTTCAAACACCACTGCGGTCTTCTTCAGAGCTCACCTCTGTTGGCAGTGTCACTTTCTTCTTCGTTTATCCGCGCGCAGCAGGTTAGCATGTTCATGGTTGTGTGTCCACGTCTCCTTATTTCTATGGCTTCCTTAATCCATCTCTTGTGTTTTTGTTGCTGGGTGTTAATGATCCTTGTTCTGTCCCAGTCCATTATATGATTTTTCTTTGTGCAGTGGTCTGTTACAGCAGATTTCTTTATTTTATGTTCTGCTACTTCTTGTTTCGCTGCTCTTGTTTGTCTTTGACTTGTTTCTTTCTCACAACACAAAAGATGGTTTAAGGAAGCCATAGAAGTAAGGAGACGTGGACACACAACATGAACAGAGACAATGGGGTCTACACATTAGATCACGCATGGGACCGTGTAATCAGCAAGGAGAGTGCGGGCAGCAGAGGGCGACATCGTCCTATTATGCCTGCGGATAAACGAAGAAGAAAGCAATGCTGCCAACAGCGGCAAGCTCTGAGGAAGACTGCAGTAGTGGTTGAAACGTCAGCAAAAAAGGTAAAACAACTCTTCCTGTGTTACAAAAAGAACTAAGTACTGCATGTATGTCTACTACTGATGTCATGTTCCCATGTGGACTTATTTGGTATTTGGGAAAACACAAAATGTTCATAGAGGTTGCTGATGTTCGTGGTTCTTTATAGCTACTGTGACAAATCTGGAAAACAAGCTAGACTAAAAACTCGTGCCTCCTAGCAATGTTCTAACATGTATCAATAAATAAACATTAAAACAACAAAAAAATTAAAGCGATTGTCCCACATTTATCTTAAAACCTCCACCAATAACACGTTTCGGACCGAAACCAACCATTGGACCATCCAGTTGTCAGTCTCACCGAACCACTGCACTTCCCTGGGCCCTCCAGTCGTTAGGCACTCATGTATTTCGTGACAGAACTCCACTGGCGTGAGAGGCTCACTGCTCAATGATATCAGGGTGTGGCCTGTGGGCGTGTACCACTCTCGACTGCAGTTCTAGTTTTTAATGTAATTTATTTCAAAACTGGATCACAAAGGCATTAAAAGTCAGTTGGTTCTACAGACACTGACATAAATTTAGATTTAGTAGAAGCTGATAATCATCGATGATGCATAATGTGAGCAAGTTTCTCTGATTTACTCTCAGACCTCTTGTTAGTTTCTAAAGTAGAGATTTTATAAATGTTGGTTTTAGCGCCTTCATGTGGACGCTTCGCTATTGCAGCCAATCTACTCTAATCATGACTCTTACTAGGGGTGGGCGATATGGGGAAAAAAAATCATATCACAATTTTGTTATTGCAAGATCACCATTTTATCACAATTTTTTTCTATTTTGGCTCTATGGTGGCTCATATCCTGTCATCCACAATATTACCAGTAATGATTTCTTGTCCAGAGAAAAAATCTATCATGTTGAACTAAATTCATGATGCATCCTCATCTCATGCATTCTCTAGTCAGGATAACACTCCCTATTACACTCACTATTTGTCCCTCACTACTCTCCGTAGTTGTTTCCTGTGGGGAAGGGGTTTGGCATATGTGTCTCCAAATAATAAAAGTCACAAAGCTAAATTCAAAGTTTAGAGCAAAACGCTGACCCAGATGTTCCTTGATCGAGCAGACATGTGAGAACACAATGACTGCTTAGAGACGGAGCAAGCTAGTGGCTAATGCTAGCACCTAGCCACTATAATCGAGTCTTGTGTGCTTCTTCAAAGATTCATAATAGTTTATGTCCGCATCTTAATGCATCAATTGTTAGATTTTCTTCCTCTACTCTACCGAGCGCCCCAGCTAAACAAACCAACACACTGCCTTTAACTTGCTCTCGGTGTGTCTGTGTGTCAGACAGGTGCAGACGGTAAATAGCGTGACTTCGCTGAGAAAAAATGTGTTGGTAGACATGTCCAGAAATATAGGCACAGGTGATAGAACGCAAGTAGGCGGTTCTACGATCTCCGAGCTTTGGTAGATCTTCATCACTGTATAATCTTTGATGATATTATATCGTCAGATCGTACGACCTTAACCCAAATATTCCTGAGCTAAGAAGGTTCGTTCTTTGTATTTTGATATGTTGTGATGGGCATGTTCTCTGGGTGTTTTAAAGTGTTTTAATAAATAGAGAAAACCATAATTTGGATAGTTTCAGGTTCTCTTTGTGATAAAATGTATTTGGACCAGGTTACCCTGGTTTCAGTTTTATTTACAAAACTCTAGTGAAGAATTCACTTCAATTCAATTCAAAGATACTTTATTAATCCCAGAGGGAAATTAGAGTTTCAGTACACACAATTCTGAGATCAGACATGCATACATAGGCATAGACACATGATATGAATTGGTGACTGTGGTCATTCGCAACCCGAGTCGCGCTACCTTAATAGAGATCAGAGGGTTTACATGAGGAGAGGGTCAGGTGGAGGAAAAAAAGGCTCTTCAGAGGTACCCTCCACAGGGAGGGCAGCTTTGCTACGCAAAAAACACCTCAGACAGAAATGCAACAGACTTCAGACATTAAACATAAGTGTCCACTAGGTGGGGAGGTAGGGTTGGGGACTCTCCACACATCAGTGCATGCAGCCACGATAAGCAGCGCTCGTCACCTCCGTTTGGACAGGGGAAGGAGGTATTTGGGTTACAGAGCACAGTGACTCCTGGAAACGATTCAACGGCCTTCGCCAGTCGCAGTCCCGCCCAGGCTGGGATAGGGAGACAGAGTTGCCATGGCGATGACAGCATTCCACATTTCTTCTGAGGGGGAGTAATCAGGGGAGGGAAAACAGTTTGTAGTTTCCTGTTTCCGCCTCTCACCAGTTTTCATGTCTGGCTGGTTTGACCTTGTTTGATGCAGGTAGGCTGCACCAATCATTAAATGCATCCTGTCCCCTCATCCCACCAGTAATTGGGGAATAATGGAGCTTTTTGCTGAGAGAAACCTGAGAGCTCTGAGCGTTTATTACCTCACCAGCACCAACCTGATGAAGAGGAAACGGCTTATTCGAGTATTTTTGACCAATCAGGGGCTGAGGCTGGATTTATTTTTGCTTCATAGCACGTTGTTGTATTGATTAGATGTAATATACAGACAGCTGTCCTGTTGGAGAAAAATACTAAAATTAAAGGCAAGATATGTCTAATTTTGTTTTCATTAACTAATTTGTTTTAATTGTTTAGAGCTGATTTAATTAGATAAATGAGGAATAAAGCTGATTCTTTCCACACCAGGTGAAGGTGGAGGAGGTAGATGAGGATGTATCTGTGGAGGAGCAGCAGGATGAAAAGGAGGAGGAGGACTGGGAGAAGGCGCTGTCCGTGGAGCGTTTCAGGGACATCATTGATTATTCTGGTTCTGCCAACGGGAATAGGATGGGTCGACACTACACCGAGAAAGACTTTGAATGTAAGACTCTTCATATTATAGCGTGAAAAATAAAAGAAATTCCACCATTTCATTTGAGAGAGAAGAGAACGTCTGGGTTAGTAGAAGCTAATCGTTAGCATTAGCAACTCCACAACATGGCTGAACTCCTTCAGGCTTGTGTTACTTGTGGAGATCAAATATCAACGTTGTAAAGGAAATATTGTGTTGCTGTTAGCCAATCAGAGGCGAGATGTACGAATATCAGGAAACACGACTCCAGATCGGCTCCACTCTGCTCTAGCTCACTTCTACATCCTGTAACAGGAGCACCTGAGCTTCCCCCCCCCCACAGAGATCAACTCACAAGGCAATAATTTATACTAGAGACAACTGAAAATGTGTTGGGGATAAAAAACAAGGGAACTGGCTCTTTAAAAATGAGCCTGTAGATATAAATCTAAAAGATTTAGATGGCTTTCGTCGCATTGTTTCACCACAAAGTCTTTAGTAAACTCTCGTCTCTCTTCTGCTGACCTGTTTAATGGATGATGAATACCAAACACAAGTCTAACTTCTGATTTACCAGTAATTTGGATCAAAAATGCACAAATGTTTATTTTCTGGTGAATTTGAGATTAAATCAGTCTGATTGACAGCTGTCTAAATAAATCGCAGCTAAAAGAAGCATTCCCTGTTTCCTGTCCACATGTTCACACTCGGCTGCTAATCTGAACATATTTTTATTCCGTATCTTTTATTTTTGTACAGACCACAGACACACGTTTCACCACACGCACCACCCCCTCTCCACCCACCTGCCAGTATCCCAGCACTTACGCAAGAGGGTGCACAGTGCAGACAGGAAGCGCAAAAAGAAACGGAAGAAAAAAAAGACATCGCTGCCTCCGTCCGATGTTACACCCACCATACATGAAGTAGATGAGGAGGCGGAGTCTGAGACAGAAGGGCGTGGGGCATCTGTCACACCTACAGAGCTACTGGAAATCCAGCCGCAGGTAAAATACCTTTAGAGGAACTCTCCAGAGTGTCTGGCCTCTCACTAATCTTCCTCTTCCTCTCAGTTTAGCTTTGGGAGCCAAAAAGACTCGGAGGAACCTCTTCCTGTGGCTACTGTACACTTGGAAAATGAAGACCGTCCTCTATCTGAAAGAGCAGCTCTCTCTCTGATGCAGGAGGCAGCTTGTAACGGGAATGTTGCACTTCCTGCACGGAATCAGGAGCCAGACAAAGACGCCGCCGCTTGCAACAGGTGGGTTTCAGCTCCTAAGGATGCTCAGATCTGATTAGAAATTAGGCCCGATCACATGATTTTGAAAGAATTCAAATCAGGTGGGAAAGATCGAATTTAACCTTTTACAACAACAATCGTAACTTTTTAAATGAATCCTAAAATAGAGATTTTCTAAATAAAATGGCTTAGTTTTAATTTCAACAAGTTCCTCTATAACAATATTAGCTGTTAGCTAGCTAGCATTTTAAACCAGACAGCGAAGGCAGAGTATCAGACACCTGTAATGTGTGCTTAGTGGGTATTTAACATGGTAGAAAAGACAGAGCTGTATGACAAGCAATCTTGCAAAAAAAAAAATAAACCCTTTTCTTTCAGGTTTACCATTTAGGTGTTGCCAAGTCCAATCACCCGTCCCAGTGTCACTGATCCTCCCAAATCACTGCAGCAACTCGGACACAAACATGGCGCCGGCTAACAGGGAATGACAGACTAACAGACTGACAAACGTCAGTTTCTCAGGTGCCTGCAGCACCCACAGTGGTTACAGGTCTTGTACGGGGAAAGTGAACCTGCCTCGTCACGGGAACACATCACCCAGTATAGTCGCAAATTGATGACATAAACAATTTGAAATGGCAACAAAGCTACTTTTAGTTATATTCATAATATTAACACATTTATTTTATTTTACTTTCTAAACTTGTAAAAGTGAAACCTAAAGAACAACTTGTATTTGTTCTTTTTCTTCTCATTTGAATCGTTTGCTGAAAAGCGTCGGATCGGGACTCGGTATCGGCAGGTCCTCAAAATCAAACGACTCGACCTCGGATTGGGAGCAAAGAGATGTGATCAGAACATGACTGGTGTTTTATTTCTGCTGATGGCACAGATCTATCAGTGGAAAAGGCTGACACAACATCACAGGTTTTATATGGAGACTGTTCTAAGTCTTTGCTGGATGTTCCACTAAAGCCTGCGTGGGTCCAGTATCTGACTGGGCTGAGACTGCTGGAGACTAAGTGGAGAGCTATTAGAGAGCAAGGCCTTCAGACTCAGCTGAGAGCGCACAACCATTTCCAGAAACTCCCTAAAAATTCACAAGTAAAGGTCTGAGAAATACAAGGTAAGTTTAAGAGGGGTTTGAAACCATGATGCAAACAAACTGAGATGTGATCAAAACCATTTTCTGGGTTAACGTCAACAAGAAAAAGCAAAAAGACTTGTCACAGTTTTAGTCTGTTTGCAATGACGTCACATCACCCAAATGTCTCTCAAACCTGGATGTAATCAGGATAATAATGTGCCATGTCACACAGCTCAGACAGTTCTAACTGGTTTCCAGAACACGACCATGAGTTCACTTGACTCCAACAGTCTCCACAGTCACCAGATCTCAGTCCAGTCCAGAATCTTTGGAATGTGGTGGATGGAGCTCATGTTGTCATGTCAGGGTGGACCAGAACCTCTGAGCCACTGAAACGTAGCACTAGTAAGGTGTACCTAATAAAGTGGCCGGTGAATGTAGGTTTCCATGGTTACCACCGCTGTCTTGGAGCAGAAACTTGTTTTTTCGTTGCTCATCAGAAAACAACTCAGAAATTAAACGTTCATCAGTCAGAATAAAATCTTTAGAAAAAATAACATTTAATCAACGATGAGAAGCTTCTCTCTTTTTTTTCTTGTTGCTCAGATATTTTCTATTTCAGATAATAAAACGCTGTGCAACAGACTAATCAGTCCAGTAAACCCTGAATCCTTCACGTTAAAAAGACCAGCCTGGTGGCTAAAAGGCATCAGATTATGAATAATTTGGTGATGCTCTGAATTATGCAGTTTTCTGCAGGAGGTCAGGGACTCCATGGTGATTGGGTTTTTGTCTGCGCTAATGGTTGGCTGGATAACAGTGCAGAAACATGTACGTGCCGTGCAGAACTCTGCCGTGGTGAGAGCACAGCCGGGGGATGACTCAGAGGTTTGGTGAGGACATGCAGCTGGGTTTTTGTGATTACAAGCCCCCTGGTGGTGAGGTTATGTACTGTAACCCTGAATTCTCCTTTTTAAGTAGTTCTGTGAAATGTTCTGCCGAGATTGATGCCAACATCAGGAAGTTGTTTCTAAAAACGTGTTGTTTTATTTATGCCAGCGCTCCTTCAGGATCAGATGTCTCCAGTTCATCGATGACACGCAGCTGGTTCTGCAGGAGGCCCGTCCATCACCGTCTACCGGGGGCCCAGCGCAGCAACTATGACCTGCGTGAACGGATCTGCATTGGCAGCATGACGGCTCTGGAGACCGCCGTCTACCAGCAGGTGCCGACGGATGAGGCCGAGGCCCAGATGTTGGCCAGCGCTGATCTGGACGACATGAAAAGTAGGAAGCTGCTGAACTTTCCTGCTTTCTGAAGGCTCGTGATTTCACATAGATTTATTATTTCTAGATATTTTCAGTGTTTTTAACACATTTCCTTTTGCAGATGTGGTTAGAAATGATCTAAAACAGAAATCTGTGAAAGCTTTGTCTCATGAAGATGGATTTTATTATTAGTCAGACTCCGAGATGAAGGCTCTCTGAAAATGAGCTGAAGGAAACGAGCCACAGGCTGCAAACCTGTGTTGATATAACAGCTTCATCCTTTCAATCCTAAGGATCAAATACATTTAAGGACTGAGCTGTTATCCCGAATCCAAAATAAAAACCAGTATCAGTGTTTGTAATGAACCAGTCCACCTTCAGGTCAGAGATTCAGCTGTGAATTAACAACAAAAATATAAATAAAAACATAAAATTGTAATCCAGAAACAAAAAGGGTGAAAATAATAAATAGAAAAGACTAAAAAAGTTTTTGAATTATACAAAATATATAAATATACAAAATTTTATTAAACACAATAAAATAATAGTGACGTTATTGAGCATCAGGTGTTGCTTTAGTGCTCTCTACTGGCTATAATTAGTATTACAGGAGTCTAACATTAGATATGAGTCTAGAGCCATAAATCACCACTAAAGCTACACATTACTTTAAATTGTTTTAATTTAATTGTAACTTTCTGAATATTTTTAGTCTTACTAGTTCAGATTAGATTAGATTACATAACCATTAGATCATTATTGTACTATCAGGGATTGGAATCACATAATGTCATTAAAATAATGTTTGGAACAGTTAAAACGAGCCTCTACAATGTAGTTATAAGATATACATAGTTTAAATATTTTTTTAATTTATAATTTATTTTAATCTTTCATTTATAAATAACACAATTTGATGATTAGATGGGTTAGACTCATGTTTTAATACTGAGCTCTGTTGTGGCTTATTATTAATAACCTGTGACAATCAGCTGAAACTGTTGAGAAAAATCTGTTCAAACAAAATAACAGAAGATGTTCAGAAAGTTTAGAAGCCTGTGTTCATCATTAACGAACCGCATCTCAGGTCATCTGCGTTTACGTGTTTTTAACACGGACTTTACTGTCGTCCAGAGTATTTAACCGAGGACGTTTTCCTACCCAACATCAGCCTCCAATCAGGTCTGTAAAACCCATATGATCCTGTGTTCTTTACAAGCGTGTCTCCATCACCTGCTGCAGAAGCTGCTGCGTTCAAAGCTGACAGAAACGGGGATCCGTGCGCTGCAACCCCCGGAAAAAACCTGCGTATTTCCAGTACAGATTTGAACATGTTTGTCGACTGATTTGTGCAATAATCAGATTTTTATTTTACTTCCACAAAATGCAAGTTCTGAATTAAATATTACTGAAACGGGGACGGCTTGTCGTCGGATTTAAAAGCCGCTGCTCGTTAACTACGTCGTCATTTTTGAAGTCAGGCAGTTCAAATGACAGCGGAGAGGCTCGCTGTTGCACACATGCACAGTCGGCATTATTTTACCCCAACAATCCGAATGGCTGTGTACATGCACGTCAATCGGAATGAAGAACGGAATAAACCACCTCTCTCAATCGGATTGAAATTTCAATCCAATCGGGCCGAATCGAATCAGAATATTCTGATTGACATGTTTACATGCAGAATTTTCGATCTGATTGGACATTCAATTCGGTTAAATATGCGCATGTAAACGTGGCTATTGTCTTTTTGAGAAATGAGAACATGTTTAACTTGTTCTTCTCCTGTGTCATGTGATCGGGCCCAATTTCCAAACACATGATCAGATCTGAGCACCCTTAGGGGCTGAAACCCACCTGTTGCAAGTGGCTTCTTCTTTGTCCGCCTCCTGATTCTGTGCAGGAAGTGCAACATTCCCGCTTCTGGAAGCCTCGGGGGACTTTAAATGATGCCTTGGATGAGTGACAAAGAAAGAATCTCACTGTTTGAGTGTGTTTTAGAGACAGAGGAAGCACTTTTCCAGTGTCAGGAGGGACTAATTAACAAAGGCTGCAGTCGATTCCCCTTGAACGGTGACCCTGCCGCCGGCCTTTCCTGTGTTACCAGAGCAGAGTGATCATTGACTATATAGAGCCATCTGGTTCCAGAAGACCAGGAGATGGGTCACAGCTACCGTGTAGCATCGTTGTGCTGCAGAGTAGAAGTCACACACACAGACTTAAACGATAGAGCACAGCATCATTTGAAATAATAGTCAAATGATCAGTGGTGTCCCCAGAAAACCCCCTATGGGGGGCTGATGGGGACAGTAAAAATTTTGGGGTGGCACATCAAATTAGTTCCTGTGGGATCTCTTGAGAGCTTAACCTGTAACTGTTCATCACATCGCTCCATCATTCCTTTCCATGAAAAACAATATGGACCAAACACATTTACTTCACATTTGAAAAACAAACATTTCAGAAAACAGAATTCCAAACTGTTATTTCAGTCACCGTTTTAAAATGTTTCATTTAGGAAGCTGAATTTATTATTGTAGCGAGTATTTGTTTATTATTGTTATTGACAAAAAAAGAAAGATTCAGCAAAAACTATTGGTATTTATTTTTTTTTCTTTGAAAATGGTGAACCTCTGTGACATATGTAGATATTTAAATTGTCATGATTATTTTAATTAAAATGAATTTAAATTAATGTATTTACTGACATTTACATGTATGTCTTGATTAAAGAAGACGAATGTATGGTTTGTGCGAATGTGAATGTTATTTACTCAACAGAGGCTCGTGGGGTGTCCAACAAATCTGTGGGTGGCCATGCCCCCTCCCACACACACACACACACACACACACACACACACACACACACACACACACACACACACACACACACACACACACACACACACACACACACACACACACACACACACACACACACACACACACACACACACAACAGGATTTCTAGGTGCAGCCAAGGTGGTGAGATGAAGCATTTTGTCTTAAATTATTTGGTAAAAGACTCCTCTGCTCTTACAACGAGAGGAGCCAGTGGAGGTGGCTCAGGCATCTGGTCAGGATGCCTCCTTGACGCCTCCCTAGTGAAGTTGTCTGGGCACATCCAACCGGGAGAAGACCTACAGGAAGACCCAGGACATGCAAGAGGGACTATGTCTCTTGGCTGGCCAGGTAATGCCTTGGGATTCCTCCGGAGTGGCTGGGGAAGGGGAAGTCTGCGCCCCCTTACTCAGGGTGCTGCCCCCGCGACCCGACTCCGGATAAGCGACTGAAAACGGATGGATGGAATAAATAATAAAACCAACACAATTTAGATCAATTAATGTTCAATTTGAGTTCTATGTTTAGTTTCCATGGCAGCATCATGGTCCCAAAATCTTCCTGAAATGTAAAGACAACATGTGATGATGAAGATGACGACGACGAAACTGAACTGCAAAAACCTTTAACAACAAACCAAACATGCACTACAATTAAAATGTTGTCTCCAAACCCAGAAGGAATCGGAACAACAAAATCAATGATAAATAAAAATCGGAAGTTTTTATCAGGAAAATGCTACGATGTTCCCTCTAGGTTGGGAGTTTTTTCCTAAAGATGGCGGGTGTCTTGGTGTCGTGTTCCTGAGGAGCTCTGTCATACTCCAGCTGCTCCTCCTCATCAAAAGGAGTCCACTCAAATGGTTCGGACTTCTGATTGGGATACTTCCTGGCTGCCTGACTTCCTGAGGTGTTGATGCAGTTTATGGTAGAGTTAGACTCTTATTATCATTTATAATATTATTATGATGATGCATAAACACATTTTACAGAAATACAACACAAGTCAGATGTAACATTGAAGCTCATGAGGGCTTATATGCACTCTGGTGCTCCTGCTGTGGAGAAGTGGGACCAGAACACCTCAGGGTGATGGATGGTTTCCATGGAGATGCAGCCTCAGCTGATAACTAACACAGTGACTGCTCTGCTGAGCCAAACAGGTGAACCTTTGAGGTGTTTTTTTGTCGTCACATTTTTTTTCAGGCTTTGAAAGCTGAAGCGTCCCGTGATTTGGAAAGTTGTGGCAGCACAATGGAAACAAAGGTCACTGCTGGTCCTGTTCCGATCTTTGCTTTTCCTGCCACTGCTGTGATCAATAGACCGTGGACATCATTAAAACAAGGCGGTGCAGCGTCCAGCTGACAGGCTCGTCTCCCAACAGGACAACGTCCCTGATCTGGACTTCCCTTTAGAGTTGCAGCGGTCTCAGATGTTAGCATTCACGTGTTTCTCAGCTGGGGGAGCCAGCAGCGAGGATTCTAACTCCCATTCTGTGATTTACTTTGATAAAGGGTCAAAAGTTGTTTTTCTGTTTGAATATTTGGCATCTTTGGAAAGTGGGACCTTCATACTCTTTCCTAAAACTTTCACTGAAACAGTTTTTGGGGTGATTTGCTGCCTGTTTAGCAGCTGACAACTTGAATCATTCGAATATTTGCTTCTGCACAACCGGAGAGAGCAACGGCGTCGAAGAGCTGGGAGCCCTGGATGAGCAGCGTGTCTGTTTGTAGAGCGTTGGACAGGAGGAGACGCCCGTTGTGGAGATGACAGACGTTAAAGGACAGGACAACCGACCACATGGGATGTCTGAGAAGATGCTGAGTGACAACTATGGAGCGGATCGCCGCTGCAGCTTCCAGAGGTTGCAGCACCAAGCCTCCATCTCCAACGTGGATGGGGTCGAGGACTTTGAAGAGTTTGTTTTGGACTTTGATGATTACGATTTGCTCGAGTCGATCCACAGCCAGCTCGGGTCACCTCTGGAACCCATTAGTAAGTTACCAGATATTCTTGTTTCTTTATTTCTGCCTCTTAAGGGGTTGAACTTTAATTTAAGTCCTTTCTACCAGATTTCTACCAAATGAATCCATTTCCTAAGCCTGCTTGATCTTCATCTAGACATTCTCAATGGCCCAGGACCACATTTGGTTCAGTCATCGTCTTTTGACTGGTTGCAGAGAAGGTTATGGATTATTCATTAAGACAGTTGTTGAGTCGTTGGACATTCTTACAGAAGTCTTCTGCTCTGCTGCAGCTTTGGGCACGATTGAAGAATCCCACAGTTGATCCGTACGTTTCAAACTGCACAGATTACATCATTCTTCCAAAGTTCTGATGTAATCCCAAACGTATCCGGAAACTTGCATCGATGAGCTTCTCTCTATGTGTATATGACTGATCAATAGATGGGAAGTGGCTTTTTTCCATTCAGAGGATATTCTGGCTCACAGAGAGCAAACCCGTCCACCATATTGAATGGATTGACACAGAACTCCACAGCGGCTGCCTCCTACTTTCCTATTGATCTAGTGGCACCAATCAAAGCTTCAGGGTCAGCTACAGCTGCAGTGGAAACACATTTCATTAACAGCGGCTCTGCTTTTGTTTTTATAAACATCCTGAATTTCAGCCATTTTCTCTTTTTATGGAAAAGAAGCAGACAAACTCCAAACCCTAACCTTCACCCTTTTTTTGCTTTCATAACAACCTTACGTCTTCATGACATGGATCCAACAAGCTTCCTCAGAGGCGCTGGTCAATACTGAGATACAGCTGCATTCAGGAGGAGAATCTCCCGTTCCACCACATCCCAAAGGTTCTGGACTGAACTGAGATCTGGTGACTGTGGAGGTCATTGGAGTCCAGTTGCCTTATGGTTTGAGATGATCTGAGCTTTGTGACAAAGTACATCATCCTGTTAAATGGTAAATGGCCTGTATTTGTATAGCACCTTCTTGTGGTTCTACAACCCCCCAAGGTGCTTCGCAACACAGTCACTCACCCATTCACACACACATTTATGGGCCATTCCCATCTGTACCGGGTCGGCCCGGGCCGGGTAGCGTAGGTTGTTTACATATCTGGGTGGCCTGGTATTTTTCCGGGCCAACCAAGGCTCATTCTCAGCCCTCTTCTCGAGGGGGTCTGCTTCAGGCCGACCAGGGCCAACACACCCACTGCTGACAGCAATATCACACCTTCCATTAGAGCAAGCCTCTGATTGGTGGGTAGAATCAGCCCACATGGGCTTAAGACAAGGATGTGTGGAATCAACCGGGCCAGGCTGGGGCCGACTGGGGCTACCCGGCCCGGGCCGACCCGGTACAGAATGGCCCATTACACTCAGGTGAGGATTGGCTACATTGTGGCCACAGCTGCCCTGGGGTACACTGATGGAAGCGAGGCTGCTGAACACAGGCACTACCGGTCCCTCTGACCACCAATGCAAGAAAGGTGGTTTAAGTGTCTTGCCCAAGGACACGACAGCAGCATTTTCTGGTGGGAGCCAGGATCAAACCTACAACCTTCCAGTTACTGGACATCCTGCTCTACCTCCTGAGCTACTGCTGCCCCAGCATGGGACTATAAAGGGATGGACATGGTGAGCAACAATACTCAGCAAGGGTCTGGGGTTTAAACCAGGTAGAACTAAGGGCTCCAAAGTGGGAGAAGAACATCTTCCCTCTCCATTATACCACCACTACCATGCTGAAGCACTGATACAAGGCAGGATGGATCTATGCTTTCATGTTGGTGACACCAAATTCTGACCCTAACCCTAAAATCCAGACTCATCAGACCAGGAAATGTTTCTCCAGTCTCTTCGGGTCCGTTTCTGCTGATCCTGTGTGAACTGAAGCCTCCGTGTCCAGGTCTTAGCTGACAGGGGAGACACCAGGTGTTTTCTGCTGCTGGAGTCCATCTGGAGCAGCTGGTGAGCTTCTCACAACCTTGGTAGGAACCAGCGCTTTTTGGAGCAGCTGTTGTCTCTAACACCTGTCTCACCATTCTCCTCTGACCTCTGCATCTGCTCTCTGGATATTCTCTGTGAAGCCGATGGTTTTCGGTTCAGCTTCCAGTAGATCAGACCAACCATCAATAAAGTCCCTTAGATCTCCTTTCTCTCTGTTCTGATGCTCATTTCAACATCTGCTAGTTGTTTTCACCACGTTTGTCTCAATGTTTTAAGTTGCTGCCTCTTATTGAACAAATGTACCTAATAAAGTGACCAGTGAGTATTTGTTTAAACTAAGTTTGGGGCAAAAAGAAAAAGGAAAACAAAAACCACTTTGTCCCACTTTCTCTACATTGCATGAAAGTAAATAAAAATAAAAACAAAGATTAAATCACATCAATGTGTGGAGATACGTTAGTCTCTAATTTCCTGTTTTGGTTTTTTGTTTTATAGTTTCAGACGAGCTTCAGTTTGAATTTTTCTTTTTTGAACTCTGTTTTTCTAGGTCACAGATTTGAGGACAACCCCGGTGTACGGCGCCACCTTGTGAAGAAGTCGTCACGATGCCAGATGTCTCGCACCAGCATCAGCTCCATGCCGCTGTCGAGCTTAAAGAAGAAGAAAAGGGCAGAAGAGAAGAAAACACATGAGGTCTGTGTTTCAGAAACGTGTTCCAGCTCTTATGTATTCGTCATTCACGCATTTTCACACCAAACCGATCTTTTTTTTTTTTTTTTTGCCGCTGTTTGAAAAGAAGTGCTCTTTTGGCATCGAAATACGTTTTTTTTTAAATTCATGGACGTCATATGTGAAATCTATGGCGCATATTAAACGGGATTAAAAACAACTTTGATCCTCTCATAGACTCCCGTCTTTTTTTTTATTTTTTATTTTATTTTTTGCAGCTGGGGATCCATGGTCCAGTAGATGGCCATGACATAAAGGCTCCCTATGTTCTAGACTCAAAGTGTCACACTCTAATCAGCTAATTAATCCAGAGCACCTGTAAAGGGTTCATGAGCCTTTAGATGGTCTCTCAGTCTAAGTTGGGTTACTGAGAATATTCAGATTTGAACCTAGATCCAAGATTCAAAGTAATGTGCACGTTTTGCTCTTTTTGAGAATAAAGTCACGTGCATTTTGTGCCCTATAAAATAACGAATTCTAAATATGGACGGAGTCCTAGCAAAAAAAATGCAGAAAGTTAATATCTAGATGTGATCCAACGAATTGTTGATTTTCTTAACGATCTGTCAGGTTGATGTGTGGATTACGGTGGGCCGAGGCTACGCCGTTTACTGCAACAGTTACACCTTTAACTCCAAGCCCAAAGCTTCCAGCAGAAAAAACCCAAAGAATAACTTTTGATTGAGTCTCATTTGAGCTTTTTCTCATGAAACCAAATTGGTTTAAGACCTTCTCTATGTGGAATGAGTTGTTGTGCTTTAAAAACAAAAGTTAAAGTTAAAGGAAAAAGTCTAGTTTGTTTGTTTATTTGTTTGATCTCTTCTCTCTGTAGAAATATTTTTTCCTCATTTTTTCTCTAAGGCATAAAAACAGTAAACATGTCCCAAAGATTGTGGTCATGGTCACGGTTAGGGCTAGTCCATAGCTGCTCCAGTATTCTAGTGTTTTTAATGCTCAAACTGATGAATGCAACTAAAGCGCACTACACCTATCATGACATTGGAGATTGTGTATATTAATTAGATCACTGATGGCTAACACTGGGTTCTTCCAATCCCAGAAAAGTTACGTTTGTATTCCTGTGCTGCTTTTGTGTCATTTTTAGTTGTTTGTTGAACTTAATGAGCTCATTGTGGAGAAAGACCATGAGATGCGCTGGAAGGAGAGGGCTCGCTGGATTAAATTTGAGGAGGACGTGGAGGAGGAGACGGACCGTTGGGGCAAACCTCATGTGGCTTCGCTCTCCTTCCGTAGCTTGCTGGAGCTTCGCCGCACCATCACACATGGTAAAATGCATTAACGTTAGCAATTGTAGACTTTTTTACACTTCCATGTGGTGCTGAAGAAAACACTATTTTGCTGATCAGTGTGGCTTTATGCTATCAGCATTGGACAGTTACTGCAAGCAGTGGTTAACTTTTAGTATGATTCTTTTTCCAGGTGCCATCCTTTTGGACCTGGAGCAGAATTCTCTCCCTGGTATTGCCCATCTGATGGTGGAGACGATGATTATTTCTGACCAGATCAGAGCTGAGGACAGACCGAATGTTCTTCGTGCTCTGCTGCTCAAGCACAGGTCAGGAAATGTTCTAGAAGGACTAGTGACGATGTGGTGGGAACTGGTTGGCTTTGCTTGTGTTTGAGCAAAAACAGTCTTAGTTTCTCTCAAAGCTTTGTTTGGTTTCATTTTGAAAATCAGTAAATTATCATTGTTCCAACATAGTATAGTAATATGGTGCACCCATTGTTGAGTGGAAGAGCGGTTACCTGCCACTCGGAACGTTATGACTCTTTTCTGCTAGCGCCTACTCACCGCAGCTTGGCTCCGCTAGGCATGACTCCAAAACGTTTCCACTAGCAATGGTTCCGTGCTTGTCACCCCTTTTTTAAAACCCATATTTGATGTGTTTCCAAGAGTACGGAACTAGATCAAAAATGCAACTTTATAAAATTGTTGGTCACTGATGGTCTAGGTCAGGGTGGGCAGTCCTGGTCCTCGAGGGTCGCTATCCAGCAAGTTTTAGTTCTTTACCTGCTCCAACACACCTGATTTCTAAATGAATCACCTGTTCAGCAGCTCATCAGGCTCTGCAGCAGCCTGTTAATAACCAGCAGATTCAAACCTGGTGTGTTTAAGGATTGCCCACCCCTGGTGTAAAAAGTGGAGTCACCAATTCTCTCTGGTATTTCCACCTGTGTAGTTGTTTACTCATGTGAACGGTGAATGAAACCCTCTCAGAAGTGTAAATGTGTGTGTTGTGTGTACATAAAAATGTAAATTCAGCTTTAATCATTTTCATTCTACACAAAATCTTCTGAATTAGAAGCATTAATGTTAGTATATCGCATTGGCAAATATCGGTTATCGGCCATAACAGTGATCTCAATATCGAATATCGGCATCGGCCCAAATATTTCATATCGGTGCATCACTAGAATCAAAAGAATCTCAGTCCTGTATGTGTACAAAGCTGCAAAAGGATGCTGCTTTGACGTGGAAGCTTGTAATGTCACATCCATGTAACTAATTCATAGACACAGACGTGCTCGTAAACATATGATTGGGAAGAGACTCGGACTATCACAGATAGTTGATGAATTCATCCAGTCACATAATCCTTTGTGTTCCCATGTTTTTCATTGTGTTTGTGTTTTGTACGGATTACCTAGCGCTGCTTTTCAACTTCAGCAGCCGCCTCTGTTATGGCGAGTCTATCCAATAAAGCTGTTGTGATTATAAACACCTGAAGCCTAACCCTAATCCAGCCTTTTCAAATTATTCTAATAGTCCATGATTTTGAATTAGGTTTTTGCCAGGTACTGAAAGCCAAAACCATCACCACTATAACAAATAAAGGCTTGAAATATCTGGCTTTGCATGTAAAGAGTCTGTCTCAAATATTAGCTTCACCTTTTGCACGGTATTCAAGTGTCGAGTTTCAACCGTATGAAACTCCATGTTCATAGATGGAGGTGCAAATATTTCCACCACAAACATCTAAAAAGATGTTCGTCTTCCTATTTCCTATTTTGAATAGAGAATAAAGAAAATAATAGACTTTAATTTCCCCACTGTGGGATCAATAAATTATATTCTATTATCTATTATCTTTTCAAAATACTGAAAAAAGTGGCTTTTTGAGTTTGACCCTCTCAGAACACCATAAACCATCTAATACTAATTGTAGCAGTCCCTACTGTCTTATGGCACCGCAGAAACATTTTTCTTTCCAGTCTTTCATCAACAACCAGCAGATTCGGTGAGTTTTAAATGTCCTCCTCTAATGAAAAGTGAGCTCGCATATAGTTGCTTCTTTATTCACGCTGTGACCTTTCTGTAGTTTCTGTGCATGTTGATGTTGGATGAAGAGAATCAAAGCCTGTTGCACCAAAGTGATCTTCCTTCAAAGATAATTGTAAAAGAAATGAAAACAAGAAGAACCGAGCAGGAGTTTCCAACGGTGACTTTTAATAAGGCTTGGCTCATCAACAGAGGTAGTTTCCCTGGTGTGACTGAAGCAAGACTTAACTGCAGATGCACTGAGTCCAAAAGCCAAAGCAATTACAAGTGTGAGTACCAACAATATGAGCCGTGCTGTAATTGATATGTGTGGGTTTTGTGATGACCCTACAAAGCTACAGTAGATCTGTTTCATAGAACACGGAAAATCTGACGTACTACAAGTCCAGGTTCTGTGGCAAAACGGTGTGCTTTCCACTCCTATACACAGTAAAATCCCAAGTGTTAAAAAAGCAGCTTCAGAGTATGGGAACTCTGTCAGAGTCAATTCAATAAAAGTGAGTGTAAAATGCCTCCCTTTGTCTTGCAGTGTTGGTGTTAATATTTATAGTTAAAACAGATTGTTTAGTAGTGTAACCTGGCAGGTGTTGAAGAAAATGTACTCTTTCTCTAGGAGTTACTACTCTATACTCCAGTGTTGACGAAAGTCCCTCTAAATCAGTGTACCAAGTACTCTGGGAAGCTCTGCCTTCTTCCTCTGCTTCCTCGGCCCAATCCCATTACTCCCACTGAGCCCTGCGGTATTCAGCAAAGTGCGCTCAGAGAAAGTGCACATTAAGGCTTCGAGTACATGGTACACAAGTGTGCTAATAATTGCCGAATTGAGACGGGGATTGCGACGCGTGCGAGGATGCTGGTCGCTGTGATTCTTTAAAAAAAAATGCAATTATTTGAAATAATTTTACATTTGTTGCTGCTGTCTAAAGGTTTTAGAGCGTTAACTAATCATCCTAAAATAAACAACTTTCATTAGAAAATACAAATGTTCAGAAAATAAACTTGAGCCTGTTCTCCCGCAGCAATGGATTGTGGGTAAAACACTTCACCCAAGTCCGCATTGGGGCGGACCTGGGTGAGGTG